AAGGAATATTTTTTAAGGACCATCAAAGATATAAACGTGGATTTTTAAGGAATATTTTTTAAGGACCATCAAAGATATAAACGTGGATTTTTAAGGAATATTTTTTAAGGACCACAAACGTGGATTTTTAAGGAATATTTTTTAAGGACCACAAACGTGGATTTTTAAGGAATATTTTTTAAGGACCATCAAAGATATAAACGTGGATTTTTAAGGAATATTTTTTAAGGACCACAAACGTGGATTTTAAGGAATATTTTTTAATGACCATCAAAGATATAAACGTGGATTTTTAAGGAATATTTTTTAAGGACCACAAACGTGGATTTTTAAGGAATATTTTTTAAGGACCACAAACGTGGATTTTTAAGGAATATTTTTTAAGGACCACAAACGTGGATTTTTAAGGAATATTTTTTAAGGACCACAAACGTGGATTTTTAAGGAATATTTTTTAAGGACCATCAAAGATATAAACGTGGATTTTTAAGGAATATTTTTTAAGGACCACAAACGTGGATTTTTAAGGAATATTTTTTAAGGACCACAAACGTGGATTTTTAAGGAATATTTTTTAAGGACCACAAACGTGGATTTTTAAGGAATATTTTTTAAGGACCACAAACGTGGATTTTTAAGGAATATTTTTTAAGGACCACAAACGTGGATTTTTAAGGAATATTTTTTAAGGACCATCAAAGATATAAACGTGGATTTTTAAGGAATATTTTTTAAGGACCATCAAAGATATAAACGTGGATTTTTAAGGAATATTTTTTAAGGACCATCAAAGATATAAACGTGGATTTTTAAGGAATATTTTTTAAGGACCACAAACGTGGATTTTTAAGGAATATTTTTTAAGGACCATCAAAGATATAAACGTGGATTTTTAAGGAATATTTTTTAAGGACCACAAACGTGGATTTTTAAGGAATATTTTTTAATGACCATCAAAGATATAAACGTGGATTTTTAAGGAATATTTTTTAAGGACCACAAACGTGGATTTTTAAGGAATATTTTTTAAGGACCACAAACGTGGATTTTTAAGGAATATTTTTTAAGGACCACAAACGTGGATTTTTAAGGAATATTTTTTAAGGACCACAAACGTGGATTTTTAAGGAATATTTTTAAGGACCATCAAAGATATAAACGTGGATTTTTAAGGAATATTTTTTAAGGACCACAAACGTGGATTTTTAAGGAATATTTTTTAATGACCATCAAAGATATAAACGTGGATTTTTAAGGAATATTTTTTAAGGACCACAAACGTGGATTTTTAAGGAATATTTTTTAAGGACCACAAACGTGGATTTTTAAGGAATATTTTTTAAGGACCACAAACGTGGATTTTTAAGGAATATTTTTTAAGGACCACAAACGTGGATTTTTAAGGAATATTTTTTAAGGACCATCAAAGATATAAACGTGGATTTTTAAGGAATATTTTTTAAGGACCATCAAAGATATAAACGTGGATTTTTAAGGAATATTTTTTAAGGACCATCAAAGATATAAACGTGGATTTTTAAGGAATATTTTTTAAGGACCACAAACGTGGATTTTTAAGGAATATTTTTTAAGGACCACAAACGTGGATTTTTAAGGAATATTTTTTAAGGACCATCAAAGATATAAACGTGGATTTTAAGGAATATTTTTTAAGGACCACAAACGTGGATTTTTAAGGAATATTTTTTAATGACCATCAAAGATATAAACGTGGATTTTTAAGGAATATTTTTTAAGGACCACAAACGTGGATTTTTAAGGAATATTTTTTAAGGACCACAAACGTGGATTTTTAAGGAATATTTTTTAAGGACCACAAACGTGGATTTTTAAGGAATATTTTTAAGGACCACAAACGTGGATTTTTAAGGAATATTTTTTAAGGACCACAAACGTGGATTTTTAAGGAATATTTTTTAAGGACCATCAAAGATATAAACGTGGATTTTTAAGGAATATTTTTTAAGGACCATCAAAGATATAAACGTGGATTTTTAAGGAATATTTTTTAAGGACCATCAAAGATATAAACGTGGATTTTTAAGGAATATTTTTTAAGGACCATCAAAGATATAAACGTGGATTTTTAAGGAATATTTTTAAGGACCAACATACTAAATCAGCGACTTTACGTTACTCATCGGCCTATATACTTAGCCGTTACTCATTACTTAATATAATAAAATTAGGTTATTTTGCCTTGTAAATTAAGGCATAACTCATAAATTAATCTAAAATAGTTGTCATTATTTTTGGATACTAATAAGCCTGAGAATATGCGGTTGTCATTACTAGTAATGCTGAAAGTGACACAAACACTTACAAAGTTATTGCTGGATTATTGGTTATTAAATCATTAAAAATTCATGTTCTTTGTGTTGTAGTTTCAACTTTATTTCCATCAAAATCACTTCAATACAATTTACAAATGGTGGTCTTATGACTAGGCGACAAAAAATAATACAAAACTAAATTTTATTAAAAATTTACAATTCTTTGAACAAACATGACTAGTTTTTTTAGTTTACCTGATTGCGTAACAAAAATTCGTGATTTATCAACATTGTTTTACTTTCCCTCTTCTCTTAAATAACTATTTAAATATTTTATAAAAATATATGTTTTGTTATTATGTATATGTATATAAAAAATATATATATAGACTTAGTAAATATTCACAAACATTTTATATAAGGTACTTAATTGGTCAGTGAACAACCTTTGTTTTGTTACAAAAAAGAATATATATTTTTGGAGATCCATATACTTATAGAAAAAGTAAAAGAGAAAAAGTTTTAGAGAATAATGTTGAGTTTGTAGGTTATTGCTGTGTGTTCCAGAACCTGCAAGAATTTACTATTTTAACATTTTTTCAGTATTATAAAGAAAAAATCGCTTATCATAGTAACAATTTTCATATTCTTGCAGTTGTAGAATTAAGCAAATTTCAACATTATTCTGAAAACTTTTTGTATTTAAAAATAGAAAGAAAATGATGTCGCTAATTTAAAAAATGATTTATTTTATTTTTTTTTTTCAAATTAGATAGATCATTTAAAAAAATTATTTAATATTGTTTAAAATTTATACAACTCTTTTAGGGGATTTAATAAACGCTTCTTGATTTTAGGTTTTGTCAAATATCTAAGAGAGTTGTATAAAATATATATATTTTTTGGAAAACAGGTTGGTTGCACATATAGACCTGAAAATACTGAATAACACAACTATTTTGATTTTCAAGCAGTATACCTACAACCAAGCCATTTTAGAATAAAAGAAAAAGTTTGAAAAAATTGAATTGATTGTTATCGGAATATTTGCCGGAATGAAATTTTGATATTGGTAGCGATCATCAAATATTGCAAAGCTATAGGTATCGTTTTGAAGAATATTGCTCTCTTTAATAGAGAATAATATTCCAATGGAAGAATACTCCAGACTTAACCAATCAAGAAGATAGGAATTTAATTTTTTTTCAAAATTTTCAAAAATTTCGGCAACATTTTGAAAATTTTAAAATAATTTCGGAAACGTTTTGAAATTTTTAAAATAATTTAAAAATTTCTTTTAAAGGGGAAATATAATTGTATCTTTACGGTTTACCGGATTTCTGCCGGATTTAGTAAACCAGTAGGTTTAAATTGCCAATTCCATGAATCCTCATAAAGGGGACCAGATAAACCCGGCAAAAACTATAATGTAAACAAACAGGGTGAGATGAAAAAACTGAAACGAACTGCAGACTGCTGTCATTTCTAAGCCACTCGCCGGACACATGTTAAAATTATTCCAGTGACAGCTCATTCTATTGATTACAAGCGTATGCGTATTCGTGATGGAATTCACATCAAGGAAGTGGAGGGAAGAAAATAGCGACCCGCGTCGCAGTGGCCGAAAAATGGCTCGTGAGCTGAACATATCGCAATATTCCATTTGGCAAATATTGAAAAATGAGCTCAGGGTAAAGCCATTGAAATTCCAAAAAGTGCAAGAACTTACACCGAAACAGAAAGAAAATAAAGTCAAAAGAGCTAAAGAGTTGCTTCGCTTGACCGAAAGTGCTGAACTGCCGAATTTGGTATTCTCCGTCTCCGATGAGAAAACATTCGTTGTCCAGCAGTTTGTAAACAAACAAAATTATAGTGTTTACTTGCCAAAGAGGTCAGCTAAAAATGTGCACCTTCGGTTGGCCACCAGAACTCAAGCGCTGGCCATGGTGATGGTGTGGGCCGCCATAACAGCCGATGGTCACTCTCCGCTCGTATTAATCGACCGTGGCATCAGAATAAATGCTGAATATTATCGCGAAAATATTCTGGAGGGTGTATTAAAGCCTTGGACACTCAAACATTACAAAATGAGCTTCCTCGCTTCATTTCCAGCGCACAATGGCCACCAAAATCTCCGGATACCAATCCGTTGGACTATTGTATCTGGAGTATTTTGGTATTAAAAAATACCAAAGTGTCGATCACCTCAAGTAAGCGCTTCGCCGGAAATGGGCCAAAATATCGCAGAGCAATATTCGGGCAGCGTGTGACGGTTTCATTGGCCGTTTTAAGGCCATAATTCGTGCCAAAGGTGACCAATTCGAACAAATCTAGACTTATTCTAAAATTTTATGCTATTTCCGACATTTTCTCCTTTCATTCAATAAAATTTAAAAAAAAAATGTAAAAATTATGGCGTTTGACATTGTTGGAGTTTTTTTATCTCACCCTGTAGTATGAGTGAAAGACATCCAAAAAAAAAAAATTCGAATTTGGGTATTCTTGTAAAATTTGCAAATAATTCCGATATCAAGCAATTCGTAATAATATCCCTAATTGAAATGTTATTTTTGATACTTAACCTACCTTATATCCTATATATCACGCCTATTTTCGGATGGTTTGAGAAACCCCATTTTTCGAAATTTTCGATGGCAGAAAAAAAATTTTCGCTTAAAGGATTATTAATTATCCCCCGACTGAAGTCTTCTAATGAGCGTTATCCTCCCTCAACAACGCTCTAAGCCGTTGGATAGGCAACATAGCCCTTGGGGGGTCCCGTATTCATTACCTGTTCATTGAAATCTTTCCATGGTGGTGTCTGCGAGAAATAACTGCTATTTTGATGGAAATTCGTAGATTGCGGTCCATACGCTGCAGCTGTTTGATTAACGTTTAGGTGTTGCGTTGTGTGGGTTGCCGTATCATAACCCGCATATCCTGGACAATTGAGAGTCGATGCACTGGAGTTTGCTGTGGATGGTGGCGAGGGTGGTGTTGTTTTACCATTGAGCTGAGCAGCTGCCTCAAAGGTATCCTTAAAGAGATCATATTTTTGTTGGCAGAAATTCGAATCTGGTTTATGATCCGTTGGCGTCTGCGCTTGGGCCTCCTGTTGTTGTTGTTGTTGGGTATAGTGGCGCATGCTGCTAAAGAACTCCTGGGATGTGAAACCAGGTGCCGCTGGAGGTGGGCCACTAGGACATGGCGGTGCGTTGTTGTGTATATTGTAATTCGCCGTTGGAACATAACCAGGTGGTCCAGGCGGCGGTGGGCCGGCATTAAACGCCATATGAGGATGATGTGGATGCATGGGATGTTGTGGCACCCGACCATAACCCATAAAACTCGGACCCAACATCCCGGAACCCAACATACCCCAGACGCCCGGTTGGGGATTTACAAAGAGAGCATCAAACAACTCTTTCGTTATACGCTCTCCGCTAAGAGTAAAGTTCTGCAATTTCTCCAAATCCAAGTTGAGCGTACCGCCACTCTCCAGTACCTGGACCAAGGCAAAAATGTAATTATAGGCAAAACGTAGAATTTCGATTTTTGTCAGCTTCGTCTCCTCGGGCAGCTGTGGCAGGGTGACACGCAAACGTTCCAGGGCATCGTTGAGCATGTGCATACGATTCCTTTCGCGATCGTTGGCCTTGACGCGCCGAAACTTTTTAATGCGCATTATTTGGCTGGGACTGCGCGAACGGGTCATGCGATTCTGACCGACGGCATATTTACGTTTGGGTCTTGGTTCAGTTGGTTTTTCATCGCTGCTCTCCCCACTGCTGGTCACCCGCTTGGTGGGCGTGGATGTTTGGCTTCCCAATTTAGGGGCGAATTCCAACTCCTCGGGCGGGGCTTTGCTGATGATATGTTCGACAAGAGTTTTTCCACTTCTGGTACTGTGATTACTGTTACTATCGAAGAGTCCCGAAATGCCCATGGGCAAATTCAACGATGTTGTGGGCATATAACCCCCACTGGAGGAGATATTCAGCGGCATTGTTGCACCACTGCCGGCCGTTGTGTTGTTATAATCCATGGCATTGTCGAACACAAGCTTGCGCCGTTTGCAATTGAATTCAGTTTCGAAACTTTTTTCATAGCCACTGTCAAAGGAGGAGTTATCATCCTCCTCAAAGTCGAAAGAACGATCCTCGTAACCACTATAACACGACATTTTGGCGAATGCTTCGTTTACACTCTTTTTCGGTTATAACGGTTATTTTTTAAATTTTTTTCGTCTTCTTTCGCCTTTTCACTTTTCGCTCGTTTTAGTTTCGTGTTCCTTTATTTTTACTCCACGCTTTGTTGTTGTGACATTTTTTGTTGTTATTATTTTTTCTAGTCTCGCTTTGCTGCTGTTGTTGCCCGTAACACGCTTTTGTACCAACTAAACGCACACTGCATCGCGCTGTTAGATTTTATATCGACCTTGCCTTGCGTAAATCACTTGACCAACCCCCAAAATATTGGCAGTGGTCGTGACAAGGGCGCCATTTCAAATCCTCTCGCCCTTCTACCGGTTCCTCGCGCTATTGTTGTTGTTGTTCTCAGTTAAGGGTTGTGCTCGTTGTTACTCAACTGGAACTATAATCTCTGCACTCATCCACTGGCGTCGAACCACCAATCGGAAGCAATGTTGTTCTACGCACCGTGCCAGCGATCAAAGAGTTTTTCTTCCCTTCCAATTAGACCAGACTGGAATTAAAATGCTCTCGCTCGGAGAGCATTGGCAATGTCGCCCTGAGGCTTATAATTATTATCGTCATCATCATGACAATCATTGCCGTTTCGATTTGACTCCCTTATCTACCCAAACACGTAGTGGTGGTGGTGGGTGATTATTGTTGTGCCGCTTTCCTGCTAGCCATGTCAAGTTTAGCGATTTCCTTATTTGTTTTCGCTTTCATTTTTTTATAACCACCGACCCAGCTCTTCTGCTCGTTCATCAAATGGACTTATTGTTCCAAAGTTCGCTTAGTATGCTGTACATCCTCTTAGCGAGTCATCCCCCTCCCATCTCCGACTACATGTGCTTATTTTGTCTACCATCCATCCTAAGTGTTATGGCCGGAGTCTGATATCAGTTAACCACAAAATTGCATCTTTTTGTTGTTTTTTTTTTTTTAATTGTTGTCCTGAATTGTTGGCCCTCTGACACACAATGGCCTTCTGGTGCGTTTCTTCGGGGGCAATATGTCGATGGGCTAATATACCGCAGCCATTTGTTAACATTTAAAAAACAAAAGAATTCGATTTCAGTCGGCCAGAACCTGTTGAAAATCTGTGGCAAAATCTGAACATTTGTTTAAACTAACTGCCAACCTGTTTGTTTACACCAATTACAATTTGGCATAGGAACTGAAGTGTAGCATCATTATCTGGACATAATTATTCGGGGAGCAGATTTTTTAATTTGGACAACAAAAAAATCAAAGGAGATCCTGAATTTTTTTATGATTTTATTGCCAAATTTCAAGAACATCTTAGTAGGACAATACAGATAAATTTTCTGTAGGCCCTTACAGATATGTAAAAACTAAAATAATGGGGAAAAATTGGGGATTACATGGTAGACCAATACCAATATACAGGGTGAGATAAAAAAACTGCAACAAAGACAAACGGCATAATTTTTACTTTCCTTTAAATTTTATTGAATTAAAGCAAAAAATGTCGGAAATAGCATCAAATTTTTGAATACGTTTAGATTTGTTCGAATTGGTCACCATTGGCACGAATTATGGCATTAAAACGGCCAATGAAACCGTAACACGCTGACCGAATTTTGCTCTGCGGTATTTTGGCCCATTCCCGGCGAAGCGCTTGCTTGAAGTGATCGACACTTGAGTATTTTTTAGTGCCAACCTTGCTTTCCAAAACATTCCAGACACATTAGCCCAACGGATTGGTATCCAGAGATTTTGGTTGCCATTGTGGGCTGGAAATGAAGCGAGGAACCTCATTTTGGGAACCATTCTTGGGAGGCGCGTGCTGAGTGCGATGTTGCTGAGTCTTGTAGGAATGTCCAAGGTCTGCAGCCAAAAGGTTTGCGTGCCCAAGGCTTTAATACACCCTCCAGAGTATTTTCGCGATAATATTCGGCATTTATTCTGATGCCACGGTCGATTAATACGAGCGGAGAGCAACCATCAGCTGTTATAGCGGCCCACACCATCACCATGGCCGACGCTTGAGTTCTGGTGACCAACCGAAGGTGCACATTTTTAGCTGACCTCTTTGGCAAGTAAACACGATCATTTTGTTTGTTTACAAACTGCTGGACAATGAATGTTTTCTCATCGGAGAAACCCAAATTCGGCAGTTGCAGTGTAAGTTCTTGCTCCTTTTGGAATTTCAATGGCTTTACCCCGAGCTCATTTTTCAATATTTGCCGAATGGAATATTGCGATATGTTCAGCTCACGAGCCAATTTTCGGCCACTGCGACGCGGGTTTCGATCAAGTCGCTTCTTTACTTTTCGAGCCATTTCTGCTGATGTTGCTGTTTTATTTTCGGTCCACTTCCTTGACGTCGGGCTACGCTACAATTATCACGGTAACGAGCAATGGTACGAGACACCAAAAATTTGTTCACATTTAAATGCTGTAGTGCTCTGACGATAGCCACTTGTAGTTTTCCAGCCAAATATAAGAAATCACACTATCACGCTTGAATTCCATCACGAATAACTTTTTTTTCTGGAAAATTCTCACCAAAATGCTTTTGTACTCTTGTAAACAATATAATGATGGGTCACTGGAATCGTTTTAACTGCTGTTGGACGAGTGGCTTAGAAATGACAGCAGTCTGAAATTGGTTGCAATTTTTTCATCTCACCCTGTATCGGCTTTACGAATACATGGACCTGCATAGACAAATTACTGTCATAGGTAGTAGTACCCATTTCGAAGTGCAAATACGAAATTTTAAACCATTCCATTCCCGTGATTAATGAAGCTAATATCATTAAAATTCCGAATATTGGGTGGTACCGATATAGGGGACTATAAGAAGACGTGAACCTGCATAGACAATTTTATGTCATAGGCTATATTACCTATCAGGAACTTCAAATAAACAATAATTACGGTGAATAATGTCGTTAAAATCATCAAAATACAGAATATAGGTAGGTACCGATTCAGGGGGGTCTGTACGACGACGTGAACTTGCATAGACAGTTTTATGCCATTTTCAGCAAACTTATTTCTGAGCTGTATTTGATATATTTCCCTGAATATCGTTGTTACTGAGTGTATATTACGGCTGTGGGTAACAAATATAACAAATCGGGTGAACAGTATATATGGGAGCTATAGCTATATCTGAACCGATCATCACCAAATTTGACATACTAGCTTCTAGACTCAATTCGGTCGTAAGTGCCAAATTTCATCCCATTTGGGCAAATATTAGACGTTTGGTGCACAATCAAAGGTAAATCGGACGAAGTTATATATGGGAGCTATATCCAAATCTGAACCGATCTCGATAAAATTTAGCAAAGGTATTTCTGAGCTGTATTTGATATATTTCCCCAAATATTGTTGTTACAGAGTGCATATTACGGCTGCGGAGGATAACAATAACAAATCGGATGAACAATATATATGGGAGCTATAGCCATATCTGCACCGATTTCGATCAAATTTGGCATACTTATTTTCAGGTCCAATCTGATCGTACGTGCAAAATTCCATACTATTCGGACTGATATTACACGTTTGGTGCACAATAAAAGGCAAATCGGACGAAGATATATATGGGAGCTATATCTAAATTTTGATCGACCCAATAGGGTTCGTCCTTAGCCCAAACAAATGATTTTGTGCAAAATTTCATCAGGATAGGGCAATAAATACGAACTGTACTTTGTTTACAAAAATACATGGACAGACGGACAGACGGACGGACGGACATGCATAAATCGACTCAGAATGTGATTCTATGCAGATCATCAAAAGGAACTATGCGTCTATCTCGTTTCCTTTTGCCTGTTACAAACAAATGCACAAAGACATAATACCCTGACCACCTTGTGGTGTAGGGTATAAAAACGGAATGACAAACTTAATATTCCCCCAATACTTTGGTGGATGGCATAAAAACAATAATACCAGGAAAGGTGATAATAATTGTATATATTAATTGTTATATTTGATATTTTCCCTATAATTTAGACCTAATATTTTCCCACGATCTTGTATAATAAAATAAAAAACTAAATTATCGTCAAACTATTTCTCACGCTCGATAAGTGATTTTTTTTACATTTAATATAAATCTGCTATACCATAAGCCAATTAAATCATACTTGAAGATTTTTATTCTTCCATCCATCCCGATTCCACGCTTTTAAAAATAACAATCCATAGAAAAAAAGAAAAATGGAAGAAATTATAATCAAATAGATCACCATAGGATTTCACACTTTTTTACGCACAACAACAACAACAACAATTAAGTGCGGCAAGTGACAACAGATGTGACAACAAACAAAATACCCACACGTGTCATCCGGAGGCGCCAACTGGAAAATTATTCAAACATATCATAATAACTTAATTACATGATCAAAAGCCATAACGGCGGTCGGTGGCCACTTGAAGTGTTATTGTTCGCTTGATGATACCGCTTAAAAGCGTTTTACTACACTAAACACCGGCACACGTCAGCGGTATGCCGCAAAAAAGAAATTTGGCGGCTAAGCAAAGCTATCGACATAGACAGCAAAAAGCACCCACGAAACACCCACCCCCACAACGCCAATGGTTTACCAGTGAGAGAGTCACGTGCTAAGCGCAATGCATTTGTGTTGACAGCCCGGCGTGGTAAGTGATATTCGAAGCGTGTTAACACTTTCTTCCTTCCTTTGGTGTGTGTGGTGGGAGTAGTCCTTTAACTGGTATTACTAACCAAACGTGTGTCCGCACTTGAATAATTTGTTTGATTATTCATAAACAATTCTGAGGAAGAATAACATATTATCCGAACAGTTGTTTGGCAGTGGGTATCAGTTGGGCTTTTTGACCACAAATTATGTTGTTAAACTGTTCGGAAAGAATCATAAATGGGTATTTGTCACGTGTGTCTAATAAAGAAGTTTGTATTTCAGAGAGATAGTTTCGTAAGCGCTTTAGGATTTATTTTTTTTACAGAATTTCAAGAGGTCAATTTTTTTCTCACATGTGTGAGTGCTTTAAAAAACTATCACCCTTGGGAATTTTTATTTTGAACAACATTTTTTTCTTTATCCTACCAAATTTGAATCCATTAGCAAAAATGTTTTTTTTATTTCTGAGCTACACAGTTAAGTCTTATGGATTAATAAGATATTAAGATATTTTGGATCAATAAGATTGGAACACAGAGAATAGGATA